CCTGTAATACACGGACATCATGGTAAAAAGGCCCTAAGTTCCTGAAGAAGGACTGGAGAAAGATTAACTGTAAACATTTCAGTGGTGTACTGGGTTCTTTTCCCAAGGGGAAACTGCCTCCCCAGTAGTCAAGGTGTTGTGGGTCTGTGCACCCATCCAAGTCTGAGAACAAACTGAGCGGCTATGGTTCCTTGCTTCGATAATCTGACTTACATTTCTGTTCACATGGCTGGAAGTCTTCTGCCGATACACATCGAGTAAGAGTTTCCTAGTCTTCCTATCTATTTCAGCTTTTAGGAGTATCATGATTAACTCAGCATCACCTTAGGTTTACAGGATTCACCAGGGTCTTCCTCCACAGTCACATTCCAAGTTACAGGAAACCAGTCTTTCTCAGTCAGTGCTTCCACTTTCACAGCTTAAGTTTGGAGTTCAACTTTGTTCACAAGGAGAAAAACTCAAACCAAACCTCCACAAGGGTATCATTCCTTACCCATCAGATTGGCACGTCTCAGAAGTCTAAAAATACACTGTGAGTAAAGCTGTGAGAAATTGATACTCTCATATGATGAGTGCTACAGTCAGGGGTTGTGCAGAGAACAATTAGAATCAGGACACAGAATTTATAATATTTTATGATGATCACCCAGAGTTAAACACAAGAAAGTGAAGGAAATCTGTCCACAACACCAAAGACATAAAATATTCAGCCAAGGGCCTGAATCCCACAGCAATGTCCTGCATGAGTCCAGATGAAAACTTAGAGCCCATGACAGTGCCTCCCAGGAGTCCAACTGGGGATCTAGAGCCCACAAGAAAGGCTCACATCAGTCTGTTTTATGGATCTGTGCTGGGAAGGCCCAAAGGTCAGCGGTGGAAGCTAGAAAGTCTATGCCAGCAGGGTAAAGGAGCTGTGCTGGTAGGTTGAGGTTTCTACACTGGAGCCAAGAAGTCACACTCACAATAAGAATTAGGGCTGCCCTGAAGATTACCACAGCCATCCTCAGTGACACCAAGGTGCCGAGCTAGTTGTAGGATAAGAACAGTCAAGTACATGCCAGAAAGCCAGCATGATGAGTTTCCTGGAGGTTAAATGGCACACGTCTTCCCCTCCGGAGCCAGGAAGCAATGTTCCATGTAAAAACCAGAGCTCCCCCAAAGTGAACCACAACCATTCTCATCAACAAGGTCCCAAGCTCCTGTGATGACAATGGTCGAACTCACACTGGAGAAGTTAGTCATGATGAGCTCCTCCTGGAGAACCAACAGCTCATAACAGCAACACAGGAGGACCCACAATGCCCCACTTCTCCTTCTCCACATCTCTGTTTATGCTGGCAGCTTTCCACAGGTGGACCCTGTACACTCAGCCCCATGCTGATTTAATTCAGCTGGTGTTAAGTTGACGATTGGTTTTTAATCCATAACAATGAACGAATGCAAAATATGTTTATCTCTACAGAGGAGAACTGGAGAAAATCAAGAAAAAAAGATCTATTTCTCTTCCTCAGGAATCCCATTTCCAGGAATCTATCCCCCAAACACGGTAGCACATAAACATTTTTAAGTTATTTATTGCAGTATTGTTTATGGCAGACTGTGAAACACCTGAATGTCCACTTGTAAGAACCAACTCAATCAACCCTAAGTGTACCAACAGTTGTGGTGTTATGTTTCTGGTATTATTATTTCAAGTGGCCCCAAATCACACTATTGCTCGTACATCCTTCATGAATATATGCATACAACTGAAGGAACTATGATAGTATATTAAAAGTTTGATTTTTAGTGCTGATATTCATATTGTTTCAAAATAAGTATATGTGGGAACATATAGAAAAAAGAAACAAATAAATTGTAATCAGAAACAAAGCTTTCCAACATCAGTAAGATGTTAAAGAATGCTATAGCCTTAAACCTGCATTAAAACTTATTACAAATTCCTTCCTATTTCTCACATTATGGAAATATATAAATTTTGTATCTGTGTCTTAGAAAACAATGAATATGTTGTAAAATTAAACTGAACATAAATTGTGCTTTTTTTCATTTAATATAAAAGAAAAAAATCTAGGGACCATGTAGAAATGAGTGATTTCAGGACAAAAACATAAAAGACAACAAAACTTGGAATTCTTTGTGTACCAGAAAGCAAGCAGGCTATCAAAGACTAGGGACAATTTGTCTTTGATAAATTTGAATGTCAATTTAACAGTCTGAGTATAAAAAAATGAAATAGCTCTGTCTCTGTCCATCTGTCTCTCTGTTTCTGTGTATGCATGTACACATATATTAAAGATTTTGTGATAGCATTTAAGATTTTTAAAACTAAAATAATTTTAAAAACACCAGTCACCATTACTACTTGTTAGGATTCTGATCCATTCCTGTTAAAATCGAGCCCTGAAAAACAGCCACACATTTAACCCACCTTTCATGTGTAAATTGTATTTCATGAGTAACAACACGGATAATGAAAACAAATTCTTCTTCATAGGAAAAAAACCACAGGAGAAATGCTAAAAGTGTACAGGTTTAAAATTTTACAATTTCACAACACCTACAAAATAATGAATCTAAATCAATGCAAAAAAATCTATTTTAAAAGAGAGCTTGATAGAAAAAATTACTATGAAGGGATCAGTCCACTAATATCAACTAAAGAGGTCCATCTTATGATTACTAAAAGTGGCACAGCACTCAGATGCCACACCACAGAAGTTCACAGATGCACCTACGACGTTACCACAAGAAAAGTAAGCCATGTTGCTTCAGTCTATTTTGTGCTGATATTTTAAAAATACCTGGACTGAGTGAATATTAAAAGGAAGAGGTTCACAGCGCATGTTTCTGGTGGCTGGAAAGCTCACACATAGGGTGGTCAGTGTCTAACAAGGGCCACCCAGCTATGCCACACAGCAGATGGCATCCCATGGCAGGAGAGTGACAGACAGCATTCATATGGCCAGAGAGCAAGCTAAGAAAACTAAATTCGTTCTTAGGAACCAACCCAGGCCTACAAGTCTTGACATTATGGTGTGTCCACAATGACACAAGTGATTCCCACTAGACTCCACCTTTTGAAGGCCCCCCATGCCAGTGCTGCCACCCAGAGTATGTAAGCTTTTGGGGGACAAACCACATCAGCAACTAGAACTGAACCAAACCAGTTTATGTGAAATTAGCTGAGATAGAGGAAGGGGGAGGGGCAAAGAATGACATCAGAAAAATGGCACCATTACACACTCATAAAGAAATGGTCAGCCAGTTGAAAATGCAGGACACTCTCAGTGTGTGTGTGGTGGGGGGGCAATGTGATTTACAGTGAAGGTGGCATCTCACGGTGGTAGAAAAGTGTAATCTTCCTCATAGTCAGTGCCAGGACAGAGTTATGGTTGTGTCTAGATATTCCTCCAAAGCCTTATGTGATCATAGGCATTTTTCAGAGGTGGCTGAATCTAGAGTGTGCAGGGCTGGGATTAAGGGCATGTGATTAGTTCACTGATTAGTCTGGCACAGTCCTGGCTAGGATAAAGGGTGTGGGTGCTACCTCTGCCCTAGGGCAGGTAGCCTGTGTACAATGTAATGGACAGAAAGAGTTCTGTCTCCCTCTCTTGTTGCTTTTGCTACCTTGTGGGTGCCACAAACTGTTCTCTGTGATGCCCCTCTGCCAGCTACCTTGGAGCCAGCTAACGATGGACTGAAACCTCTACAAACTGTGAGCCAAATAACCCTTTCCACCTTTAGTGTTGGATGTATGGATATTTTGTATCAGCAACAAAAGAAATATAACAGGGACAATGTGACATTTATGCCTAATTGCATGCCTAATTCACAGTATATCTAAACATTATATTCTGGAGAATGATAAACCTAAAGCAAAAAAAAAAAAAACCTGATAAAGTTTAAAGAGCATATAGGAAATTAATTTTATCACCATAGGATAGTAAAGACTTCTTAAGTATCAGAGAGTAATTAGAAATAAGAAAACAAATCTATAGGGAACTAGAGTTTGCCTGGGAGATACATTTATTCTGATCTCTGTCTACAAGTAGTGTTTTTCTAACTTTCAAATGTTTATTCAATGGATATGCATCAAAATATACACAAAACACATGTGTGGACATACACAGAAATGTACATGAAACTGAATTTCACAAAACAACCCTGTCTGTGAAGTTAAATATTTTATTTTTTCACTGTATTATTATCACTAGTATCATTATTATTATTACTGAAACGAGATCTCACCACGTAGTCCAGGGTGGCTTGAACTCACTGTGATCCTCTTGCCTCAGCCTCTCAAATGTTAAGATTACAAGACTGTGTCACCACACCATGGCTACATTATATTATTCTGACCAATTTTATAAAATATGTTTGGCAACCCATTCAAATGAATACGAATTATTAAGGGGCTGCCAAACTCAATTTTAAAATAACTGCATTCAAATAAAGGTTATAAGATAGGACTCAGGGGGAGAAGAACAGCGTCCATGCAGCACGCTGAGTGCAGAGCTGAGTGGAAACCCCCAGGGAGGGACAGCGGCCTGGAGGTCATCGGCTTAGCTCCTGATACAATGTGGAAAAGATCTCTGCAAGACTCTGCTTGAAACACCCGCTCAGAACTTCACACAAAGTTCCAAAGAATAAGAGACCATTCAAATTACTGGATCTGAATCTGGGAATGAGGCATCATGAATGCCCGTTGGCAGAAACAATCCACTTCAGAATCACAATGTGAGAAACTGAAAGAGTAAGTGAGGTCTCGCATGTACAAAAGGTACTGTGAAATGGGAAGAAACTGTTCAGAAGGAAAAAGGAACTAGAATGGGGGAAAGGGGAAAAGACGGGGGAAAATGCAGCTCAGTTATACTATCATGGATTAAAAACTGGTGGGCCACCTAATGCCAGGTGAATTACATCAGCATGGTGCTGAGCGTAGATGTTCCACCTGAGGAAAGTTGTCAGCATAAATAGAAACATGGAGAAGAGCTAGGCGTTGTGGGTTTCTCTGTGTTGCTGTTTGAGCTGTTGGTTCTCCTGGAGGAGCTCTGGTTCCTTCATCGAGCATCACTTCCTGGCTCCGGAGGGGAAGACATGTGCCGCTTTATCTCCAGGACAGACTTGTCAAGCTGGCTTTCTGGTATGTGCTCAACTGTTCTTATCTTAGGAGGAGCTCGGGACCTCCATGTCACTGAGGATGGCTGTGGTGCTTTTCAGGGCAGCCCCGGTCTTTATTATGAGCATGACTTCCCGGCTCCAGTGTAGAATCCTCAACCTACCAGCACAACTCCTTCACCCCACTGACATAGACTTTATAGCTTCCACTGCTGACCTTTGGGCCTTCCCGACACAGATTCATAAAACAGACTGGTATGAGTCCTTCTTGTGGGGTCTAGACATCCAGTTGGTCTCGTGGGAGGTATTGTCATGGGCTCTAGGTCTTCATCTGGACATTGCTGTGGGATTTAGGGCCATAACTAAGTCTTTAGTGTTGTGAATAGATTTCCTGCACTTCTTGTGTTAAAGTCTGGGTGACCATCATAAAATAATACTATAAATTCTGTGTCCTGATTCTAATTGTTCTCTGCACAACCCTTGACTACAACATATACTATCAGTGTCTCTTCTTTCATTAAAAGGAGGAAGAAGCGGGTGTGGAGGCACACTCCTATAATCCCAGCACTTGGGAGGCTGAGGCAGGTGGATCATTGCAAATTGGAGACCAGCCTGGGCTACAAAGAGAGCCCAAAGCCATCCTGAACCACACAGTGAGATCCTGTCTCAAAAAGCAAAAAAAGAAAAGAAAGAAAAAAAAGAGGAGTTGTGGAAATATTGATTGGAGAAATTTTATGCCCATATCTTGTACCCCAAGCAACTTCTTTAAAGATAACAACATGTAATGTATTAATTATAATTTTCTCTATTATTTTGTACATTTGAATGCAATCAGAGAGAATTCCTAGAAAGGGAAATCCTAATAATAGTAATTAGAAGCTCAATGGATGATGTAAAAGGTTAGGTCTATGAAGTAAGGGCTAGTGAATGAACCAAGAGACAGATATGATGAAATTGTCCAGGTTGCTGCACAGAGAGACAAAGACATAGAAAAGTTAAAGAGGGGTCAGAAGAGGTAGATGACTCTAACACATGTCTAATTTGAGTTCTGGAATAAAAGACAGAATGAGGCAGAAGCAGTCATCATAAGGAATATCAAGCAAAAGAATATACACAAACTATACAGGATAAAGCAACAGCAGATTTGAAGAACATTCAGGGTATCAGGTGAACCCAACAGGAAGGCCAGGTGACAGTTAGCAGTAACACTGGAAGTGAGGGAGCTGGGAAGCCCTTGGAGGAGGGTCCTGAGAGGGACGGTCAGTCTAGAGTTCTCTGTCCAGAAAAAATGTATGTCAACAAGGAGAACTAAAAAGTTATTTTCAGAGCCAACAAGCAAAAACACCTCACAGCTAAACCAATGTCCTACCAGCCTGTAACCACCAACGATAATTCAGAAAGGCAGATACATCTCAGGAAGCTATTTTGACAAAAAAAAGAATAATGGTGGGCAGAGACAATAGGTAAGCTGACGTGATAACAAATTAACCTAATTCTAAAATGCTAGACAACCTTAACAAGCCAACAGGAAAGGAGATAATTCATTGGAACTAAGAATTCTAGGTTAGTTTTGTTGTCCCATAGAAGGATAAAAATGATAGTTAATTACATAATTTGTTATATTAAATATTCATTTTTAAGACTTCTAAAGTATTCAGTAAACAAATAGAAACAGATTCATGTGTGAGAAATTTTGAAATAGGAGAAATCCCAGTTAATGTAAAAGGTAGCTAGAGAGAGAAAAAAGAATAACAGGGGGAAAAAAGCCAATGAAATAAAATGGTAGAAATGAGTCCAGTATAACAATTTTAATCAATATACAGAAGTTTCAGTTATAAAGCGAAGATTTTGATACTAACAATCAAAATCCAGAAATATGCATCAGTAAAGGGGGGAAAGATAGCCTCAGTGAGAGATGCTACATTACTGCTAGACACATGAAACTTTGCAAGGCAGGAGTATATACAAAAAATTACATATCAATAAATGTTTAGGAGATAGAACAAATCTAAATTCATAGACACCCATGTAGCATAACTTTGGCATATTTAGCACAACAATGTAAGAATATTGGAAAAAAAAGACAAATCTATCATCAAAATGAAATATTGTGATATAACTCCATTAGATAATAGAGCTGTTCAACAAAAAAAAATAGGAAAGATAAAAAGAACAAATTTATGCAATTAACAAGTTTGATAAAACACACTCTCTTTTAAGCTCTTGTGGCACATGGATCAACCCCATAAAAAAGTAGTCTTATGAAGTTCCACAGAATTGTTATGATGGAGAATGTTCTCTTTTTTTGGTTCATTTTAGACATCAAAAAATTAAAAATAAAGGAAGAAGAAAGAGAAGGAGAAGTAGGAGGTAACAGACATCCTGATGTGAGAGAGATGGTGAAAAACGTGTAACCTGAGACTTAATAGAGAGATTGGGTACATGCAGGTAAACCCTAAGGAGCAGGACAGCATTCCAAAGCTCAATAATATTTGTGGTCTGTGAGTCTCAGAGACCTTGGAGGAGTGGAGGAAGGCTGGTTGTGTAGCTGGAGCAAAGGTCTTAGCAGACATGGTCATGATGGTACAGGCAGTGAATAGCACTTGTACAGGGAAGAAAATGGGAATAAATCCCAGCCTCACTGTCCTTCCTCCGTTTGATCTTGTTTGTTTGATTGTTTTTTGGAGACAAGGTCTTACTATGCAGTTCAGACTGGCCTCAAACTCACTTTGTAGCCCAGCTGGCTTGGAACTCACAAAAATCCTCCTGCCTCAGCCTATTGAGTGCTGGGATTACAGGCATGCGCCCTCAGGCCCAGTACTCCTCCTTCTGGTCTTAATGGCGCACTCCCATGAGCTATGCCCAAACAGAAGCCAGCGGGCACTGGAGTCCTTGTCTATTGCGGTATAAGGAGGCATGCAGCATGCTTAGTTCACTCACTTGACATTTCCACTCATAACTCACGGCAAGCCAACACTGATGAGTGTGTCCATATTTACAGTCTATACATCCCAAGGGCTGATAGAATGTTAATCTTTGCAAACTCCAAATGAAGTAAAGAATGCAGGCAATAGCATAATTGGAAGACAATGCTATTAGAAAATTTTATAACGGATGTGTCATTCCAATTAACACCTGAGCCCACAGATCCATATGAACATCTCAAAAAAAAAAAAAAAAAAGAGAGACAGACAATAGAGGTCTCCTGTGTGCAACAGAAAGCACACACACTAAGCATTCTTGCAAGACAATACTGAACATGAATGTGACATAATCAAGAGTACATCACTCCCCCAAGATGTTTTTGGGAGGGGGGGAACACAGCAGACAGAGGAACGTGTAATCTCCTCTACCTACCATCACTGATGGCAGCAAAACCAGACTATAGAAGTGCTAGAGAGAAACATAGCCAGTTTCATTAATAATGGCCCTGTAAGATATAAAAAAATGGATGGGGAAAGTTGATCGTGGATTTGAGACATCACCATACCATGTTTGGATCTTTTGTGAGTCCTTGTTTCAACACACCTGCTATAAAATCTTTTGATGCGATTGGGAAATGTGGAGACTAACTGGATACTTGATGATACTAAGAAATTATTTTTGACCTTTAGATGTCAATGGTATTATGGCTATTTTAAATATGTATATTTTAGAGGTGGCTGTTGATTGATGGGTATGATAGCTATGAACTGATCAAAAATAACTCAGTAGGGAGGGTGCAGAGTGGGTGGAGAAATGAGTCGAGCAAGACGGACCTGTGCATCGGTGCTTTTGAAAACAGGTATTAGTACACAGATGTTTGTTATACCAGCCTCTATGTTCAATACTTTTTCTATTATGAAATATACAGGCAAAGATTGCATGCAGATGATGTGACAGATCCAACACATAATCTCATGACTCATACTCAATGTCTAGGAACAGATTGAAGTCAGGAAGCCTGGGACTTGGAGATGCCCACAGTAGAAGCAGGGCAAAGTCCACCTGTGTTCCCAGGCCCTGGTTCCCAATCTCTGTGGGGCTACTCACATCTCAGAGGCTGCTGGGGACAACCGAGAATCACCAGTGAGACAGCGAGGCTGATCTAGCTGAGCTTCTCAGCCAGGGAGTGGATTAAAATGCCCACTCTGTCACTGAGTCTGGCGACAGGATGGAGGACAGAGGCGGAGAGTATATAATCTGCATCACACACAAATACCGTCATCCCTGAGGACCCTTGGGATTGGCCCCAAATCCTGGATGTTCAAGTCCCTTGTATAAAATGGGGTATTATTTTCATAGAATTTAACACATTCTTCTGTGTATTTTAAATCACCTCCAGATTACTTTAAAACCTACCACAACATACATTCTGCATCTCTAGTTGTTATGCTGTAGTATTCAGGAAGTATTCACAAGAGAAAGGTCTACAGGTGTCTTCACAGATCTAACACAGTACATGCGTGAGACTCCAGGTGAAAAGCTCTCAAGAAGGGCACTGGAGAGAGACTGCGATTCTGTGACACAGCAGAGGCTGCAGTACCCTGCCTTCACTGCCCTGCATGTGTGTGGATTCACTGCAGTGCTTAGTGTATAAGCTGTGCACAGCCTCCTGTGCTTTCAAGCGTCTTTAGGTGGCTTTTAATACCTAAATCAATGTAGCATAAATCATTGTTCTGTACTGCTGAGGAAATAATGACAAAGGAAAAGGTCTTCACATGTTCAAGACAAATTGGATTTTTAAAAACTCGATTGGACTCATGACTGTGGAACCCATGGATACAGAATTCTGGCTACGATAATCATAGTACTAATACTTATTGTAATAAAAATAATTTCTTAACTAAATCAAACAAAATACAGTAGAAACTTGAAGTGTTCTCTTTATAACTGCATTAGACCTGACTATATTCCTCAAAATGATTTTAAATTAGGCATGATTGGGAAAGTCACAGTTACTATGAATGGACAGCAAAGCAGCAGAGACCATATATGGCAATAAAGGAACCAGCCTGGTCTTTGGACCCATACTTCTTGGTTCCAGGTTCTAATCAGTCAAGTCTTTAATTAGGCCAGTCTAATTAGGCCAGCCCATACACAAGTCCTTAATACAAGTGTGCCTTAAACTGAGCATCGGAATTGTACTTGCTTCACACAGTTACTGATCTGTAAATTTACATCTAACACTGTGTGTTGTTCTCAGAACAGCCTGTAAGCTGGAGGAGGTGCAGCAAAGCTCCATCCTCGGCTTCCAGCCTGGACTGGGAAAAGAAGAGCTACTCCACTTGGTGGACTAAGATTTCACTGGACTTATAATGGTTCCTGGGACATAAATAAGTACCTTTGCCTGGGAGTAACACGGTGGAGAAGATAGATAAGGTTAGTCACCAAACTGTGGGGTAGACATGCTAACATTTGTTTCATTAGGCAACCCTAAACACAGGGAAGATTTTTTTTCTTTCTTTTGGTACCAGGAATCAAACTCATGACCTCGCGCTTGCCAGGCAGGCGCTTATGCCACTGAGCTAAAACTTCAGCCATTAACATTGATTTTAAACCCACTGAAAACCAAACTAGTAGCTCCTGTGTGGGACAAATGAGGCTGCTGAGCGATGCTGCTGGTTTAACAGAGTAACAGGAGTCCTTCCTACTTATTGTTAGAATGTAAAATGTTCCTAGAAGCTGCAATACACAATGTAATAGTGAAGAAAGCCTAATTTAGTCCAAAATCATATTTGACACTCATTAGAGAGCTAAAAATGCAAAGAAGTCTCAACGCACCGCATTCCAGCGAAGAATGAGGCTCTCCAAGGTAGGAAGAGTACCTTAGCTGCTTTCACCTCTGGGCCATGGTGCAAAAAACAGCCAACTTGCCAGGGCCAAGTTTAACTCGGAGAGATAAGGAGAAAACAACTACATGCTTACATATCTTGTAGCCCAGCACAATGAACTCAAATCCAAAATATCTGCTAAAGCTGATTAATATACATATGTCATCATTTCCTTCTTCAGATAGTTGCTCTCAGGTACA